GGTGGTGGTATGTTTTTATGAGCTAAATTCAAACTTTATTCTATGAAGTATTACTATTCATTTTTTTAAATATGCATAATTTAAATTTTTTTACAGTGGGATTATTTTGCTTTTCCCTGACAGTGTATAAACCCTATAACAAAGTAATTTCTGTTAATGTGATATCCTACCCCCCCCTCAGCCTCACCCTGCACTTTGTTTCTAGGTGTCCAGACTAGAAGAACAGATGAATGGCTTAAAAACGTCAAATGAACATCTTCAAAAACACGTGGAGGATCTGTTGACCAAATTAAAAGAGGTATAGGTGACCAATTCAAAATGTACTTTACAAAAATATTAAAGCACTTAAGAAGTTGTTATTGTAAAAAACGATGTCATCTTATAATCTGTCTTTGATACCATAAAACAAGAATACTTACGTATGGTGTGGCCTGGCTACAACAGAAATAGAATTAAATGTTGTATCCAATATACTGTCTAAAAAATAAGCATGAGTTAATTTTAATATCATTTCATTATTCTACTTTAAGTTGAAAATATTAATATTCCTAAAGTAATTCATTTTTGTCATGAAAATTGATTTTAATTTTAGTTTTAATCTTTATCTCTTATTTTACAAAAATGGATTTTTTTAATCTTGGCATTTAATTGGCATACTAAATTTGGTTCAAAGTAGGCTCCAATAGGTGTTTTTTTTTTTTTTTTTCTTTTTTCTTTTTTAGGCCAAGGAACAACAGGCCAGTATGGAAGAGAAATTCCACAATGAATTAAATGCTCACATAAAACTCTCTAACTTATACAAGGTAAATACCCCACTATACATGTTGGTATTTTAATGTTGCACTATTCACTGTTAGGTAACTTTTTAAGGTTAATTTGTAGAGTGCTGCCGATGACTCTGAGGCAAAGAGCAATGAGCTGACCCGGGCAGTGGATGAACTACACAAACTTTTGAAAGAAGCTGGAGAAGGTAAGTGTTTTTAATTATGGAAAAATTCTTTTTGTTCTTAGGTTGATAATTCTTTGTTCTTTTCCTTTGTGTAGATTATTGGATTTTAAAGGCAGACTTAACTGTATTAGGGACAAAATGTGGTATTAAATAAAGATCTATGGATTATGAAAGTCAGAGTTATATTTTAAACACATTTAAAGATATAGATAGCAGTTTTTCTGTTTTTTCACATAATAACTTTGTATAATTTCCTGATTTCTAATGAGAAAATTTTCTTCCTTTTTTTTTTAAACATTTACTCTACTAAGTATACTTGAGTACTCCTGCTCTATAAATAAGATTACCTTTTTAGGTTATCAGTATTATAGTAAAGTCTTTTATTTCATCAAATTCTTGCTTTTTTCAGTGTAATGTATTTATGGACTTTCTCAATAATTTTCTGTATGTCAGACAAAAGATCAAAATTGAAAGCAAAGATATATCTAGAACCACTTGAGATTTTATCATTTTAGTTTCTTATTTTTCTTGTAGGTAAGAGGTCTCAAAAGGAGAAATAAACTCATCGGGCTAGAACATTTCAAGAATTAGAAGTAGAACAAAAACTTTTAGTAGATAACTGTTAAAAAGTGCAGCCTCTCTAGAATTTGTCTGAAGAGAAAATTGAGTGTTCCATTACATTTTATAAACTTGAAAGAGTTTAATGATATGTTTGGGTATTCTGTCTTTGAAAATGTTTTTAGCAAACAAAGCAATTCAAGATCATCTTTTAGAGCTGGAAGAATCTAAAGATCAAATGGAAAAAGAAATGTTTGAGAAAATAGGGAAATTGGAGAAGGAATTAGAGAATGCAAATGACCTGCTTTCTGCTACAAAACGTAAAGGTATGGCTAATAGATGCTTATTACTGGCTCATAATACTAGAACTTCTCCACATAGAAGTCATTTGATTTCATTAATAGAATTTCTTTATTATGTTCTGATGTAGGAAACTCCATTAAGTTATATTATTAAAATTTACTTGTAAAGTTAATATTCTGTCTGCAGTTTTATTAAGTCATCTGTATTTTTTTATACTGGATAGTGAAGTTTGTTCTTTGAGGGAAGGTTGGGTAGGATGGGAGGTGACACACTCAGATTGGCTGTAGTATATTGGGAAGACGCAGGGCTGGAAGAGGCAAGCCCATGCAGTTACTGTGGTGAAGAAAAGGAAAGAAGGGGTACATAAGGTGCACCCCAAATGAGCAAACATTCCCTAGTTAAGGAGGGGCATGTGAGTGAAGGCGGATTGTAGATGCTATCATCCTAGATGAGGGATGATGTCATCTCTCAGGGCTAAATTTAAGTGCACTTAGTTCCTTTAATGGAAGGCATCTGCAGTACCTCCTGAAGTTTTTAAAGAAAGGGGGAGATTTTCAGGGTTCTTTTTCCCCCCCTTTTGGTTTAAGACAGTACTACACTCACTGCTACATTCTGTACCCCATCTCCAATGGAATAAGTATGCTAAAGATTGGTCTCTGAATCTCTTCCTTAACCTATGCTGGTTTTATTGAAAGGTACAAGGTTTGCCAAAAGATTTTTCCCCATACTGGTTTTTATCAAATGAAAATATAACATAAAAAAAAGTTATCAAGTATAAGTACCATTTACTCATATAATTATAAATTCCTAGGTTATTGCCTGATTTTTACAGTTGGATTGTGTTACATGATTCTTTGATGCCATATTTTTTACATCTTCATAGGTATTAATATGTAATGATAATACATGTCACTTATGTTTTGAAAAATTTTGAAAAAGTTTTAGTGCCTTTTAGTTTGAAACTTTACAGAAACATGCTCGATTTGTATGTGTCGGCACAGGAGCCATATTATCAGAAGAAGAACTTGCAGCTATGTCTCCTACTGCAGCAGCTGTAGCGAAAATAGTAAAACCTGGCATGAAATTAACAGAGGTAAGAGTGGGATTAAATATTCCTTCAGTCATTGCCCCCAAAGTTATTCTTAAATCATCTTATGATTAATGGATCATTCTAGGAAAAGTTTTCCTTAGTTCTTAGTTCTATGTAAATATAATGAACATTTCTGGGTTTTGTAAGTGCTAAAGAATGTTTATTATGAAACTAAAGCAAATGCTTCCCTGATCATGGTTAGATCTGAAATTTTCCTCTTCTACTTTCAGCTGTATAATGCTTATGTGGAAACTCAGGATCAGTTGCTCTTGGAGAAACTAGAGAACAAAAGAATTAATAAGTATCTAGATGAAATAGTGAAAGAAGTTGAAGCCAAAGCACCGATTCTGAAACGCCAACGGGAGGAGTATGAACGTGCCCAGAAAGCTGTGGCAAGTTTATCTGTTAAGCTCGAACAAGCTATGAAGGTTGGTTCATTTCTAAGATTGATTTGTGGTAACAATACAAATGATAAATCATTTGCTAGGTCATGTTTTCTTAAGGTATTTGAATCAGAAAAATCTAATTAAGATTTTCAGTGGTATGTTAATTATATATTTTGAAAATTTCCACTGTATTACTAAACACCTCTAATTAGAAAATGTACTACCTTTATTTGGTTAAAATTATGAGAGGCTTTTACATGTTTTAAAAGCATGTGTTGTTTTCCTTAGGATTCTGTAGTAGAGAATTATATCAAAATCTCCTTGGACCACTTAAAATAATCTCTTCATATAATAATAGAACTCTTCTAAATTTAGTGTAATCGTTCTTTGTCACACAGTGGTGATATCCTTCCTGGAAATGATAATATTTAACCACAAGTAAGAATTCCTTGTTTGTACTATTTCACAATTTAGAATAACTTCATGGGCATTACTTTGTTATACTGTTCCTTTGCATATTAAAACTGTCAAGGAAATTTGTAAATACCTGTTGCCTCTAAAGACAACTTTTTAGTAAATAATGATTAAAAAGGAGTGTTTATACTCTGTTTTACTTTTATGGTACAACTATAAATATTACAGAGGGAAATCTTCAAGATTATTAAATCAGCTTTATTGAGGAAGTTCAGATAAATGAAATTTGTATCTATTCTAAACTATTTCTTTTTTTTGGAGCAGAATATAAATGTAACCCTAATTCTGAATTAAATCTCTACTGCTGTTACAATTTAGAAGTGAGTTTAAAACCAGATGAAGTCTTAACAGTCTTTCCCTGACTGGAAATAATTGGTTGTTTTTGACAAAACAATCTACTGGGTAGATTGCAAATAGGTTCCCTTCAATCCAATTAAGATTTTTTTGAAGTTGTGTCTCTTGAAAATGAAGGGTTTGCCTGGAACTTCTTTTTGTCTGAAGAGTGGGCTAGTAGAGTGGCTTAAGAATTAGATAATAGCAGCTATTTATTATGGAAAAGTCCTATTTTTTCATTCTTCATGAATGTACAATTAATAGTAGTAAAATTGTTTTCCTTTTTTTTTGAGACATAGTCTCACTATGTCACCCTCGGTAGAATGCTGTGGTGTCACAGCTCACAGCAACCTCCAACTCTTGGGCTTAAATGATTCTCTTGCCTTAACCTCCCAAGTAGCTGGGACAATAGGCACCTGTCACAATGCCCGGCTATTTTTTTTATTGCTGTTGTCATTGTTATTTAGCTGGCCTGGGCTGGGCTCAAACCTGCCACCTTGGTGTATGTGGCTGGAGCCATAACCACTGTGCTACGGGCACTGAGCCAATAGCAGTACAATTTTTTAAATACTTTTTCATAGCCACTAAAGAATTTGAAGATAATTTCTTTTTCCTTTTTATAGCTAAATTTTTCTGTCCATTTCTGTCCAGAATTATATCCTCCAGACTAGATTCCATAATGCTCATTAGTAAGGTTCTAAGAGATTTTGATCAAATAACTACTCTCTGCCAGGTACTTTGGCATGCATATAATTCTAACACTCTGGGAGGCCAAGGAGGGTTTAGCTCAGGAGTTTGAGACCAGCCTAAGTAAGAGCAAGACCCTGTCTCTACTAAAAATAGAAAAACTAACTGGGTGTTGTGGCAGGTGCCTGTAGTTGCAGCTACTTGGGAGCCTGAAGCAGGAAGATCTCAAAGCTATGATGTCACAGCCCTATTCCCCCATCCCCCAAATAGCAACCTTCTTTTGATTAATTTTGTTTTAAACTCAGTAGATTTGTATCACTGCAACCTTTCATGAACATTTGTCTACTTCATTTTTCACTTACCTGTTCCTACTGAAATCAATTTATGTATACCTTTAGAGCAGGTTCTCAACCTTCCTAATGCCATGACACTTTAATACAGTTCCTCATGTTGTGGTGACCCTCAACCATAAAGTTATTTTCCTCGCTACTTCATAACTGTAATTTTGCTACTGTTATGAATGGTAATGTAAATATCTGATATACAGGATGCATTTTCATTGTTACAGAGGGGTTGCCACCCACAGGTTAAGAACTGCTGCTTTAGAGCAATATGCTCAGAGATACTTGAAACACCAGGATAAATAAAAATTATCACAAAACATTACTAAGTGAAAATAACATATATTAAGAATCAAAATTTGCATGAATTCAAGGTAAAACAAAGTTTAAAAGCTAATCAAGTCTTTTTCCCATCTTAGCCAACATATTTTAATTTCGGCATTTATTTTTAAAGGAAACATTTAATAATGATTATCACTGCACTGTAGATCAGTGTTTTTGTTTTAATGACAAAGCTTTTGAGAACACTTCTGTGATATCTTTGGTAAGAATATGATATGGCTGTCAGATTATAGTTGACAAAGAATTTGGTGGGAGGACAGCAAAGTCCCCATCATTTTCACACATATAGTGACAAGCATAACAGTGATGCTGTTTGAGAACCTAGGAGATAATGCTCTTTATCTAGAATTTTTCCTTTTTTTAAGAAACTGTAAGCCAGAATTTTTTAATTTATAAATTGATTACTGTGCTGTTTAAACACTGTAGATTTTTGTTCTTTGTTTACCTACTTCATTTGTATAAATCCTAGAAGGAGGTATAGAATTTTCACTTGAATTTACATTTTAAAGGAGATTCAGCGATTTCAGGAGGACACTGATAAAGCCAACAAACATTCATCTGTACTTGAGAGAGACAATCAAAGAATGGAAATACAAATAAAAGATCTTTCACAACAGGTTAGAATTTTTTGGATTTTTTTTCTGTTTTCTAAACTGGCTGCCTAGTATGTTTGAATCTGTTTGAGGGTGTCAGAGATAGAACTACCACATATGAAATTCTAATCAATTAGGATGACTACTCTAGCAGAGTTATGTCCTAGTCATTGTTTTTTCATAGCTCCTTCCTTTTTTTCAAGTGTTTGATAAATGTTTAAATTACAGGTACTGGTTGTAATAAATGAACAGACAATTCAAAAGTTATAAACACTTTCTTCACCTTTCATTACCTGCCACCCCCCAAAATAACCAGTATTGATGAACTGTTGTGTGTTCTTCCATATCCTTTTGTGTACAAACATCTGTGAGCATGTATGAATACATACGTGGTTGGACAATTAAATTCACAAACTCATCCTCTACAAAGTGCTACATACTTCATTTCTGAATATCACTGTGCTCACTTCCAAAGTACTCCACCTGGGATGCTATGCACCAGTGCCAGTGTCTAGTCCACCCATTAAAGCAATTCTAGAACTGTTTCTCTGAAATGGCATCAGAGCTGTCATTGTACAAGGTTAGACAATTAAGTTCAAGAACTCATCCTAGAAAAAGTGCTACGTAGTTCACTGCTGAATTTCACTATAGTCACCTTCAA